AGATATAAATGAGAGAGTGTTTTAATTAGCTAGATGCAGATTTTCATTTTTCAAATGCAGTTTTCAAAAAGAAACAATTTGGAAAACTCAAAGATGAAAAATATGAAGGTGGCTCTTGAGGAAGAAGCGATAGTTTCCAAGGAAACTTTCCAAAACTTGCCTACAAAAGTGACGGCTGCCAAATGAGGAATTGGTTTGCTTTTACACCAAAATTCCTAGGTTAGAATCGTACAATGGCAGCTAAGAATTTTGCAGAATAAGACAAAAACATATGGGTAGGATCCAGCTGGAACAGTGAGCTGGAATTCCTACTAAGGCAGAGGTTGACTAGTCATACGAAGGAAGGATGACTAGTCATAATCTTCAGAAGTTAGAAAATGCAATGCAAAATTTACCTTTTGTCAAATCCATTGTTGTCCATCATAATGTAGCCAATTAAGCATACCTAGAGATATAATTCTTAATCTAGACTAGAGCTTGAGAAAATACAATGATTGTCCTATTACTAAATTGTCAAGGGAAGCCAAAAGCACAATACAAAATCCATACACTTACAGTGTTGTTTTGTAGACAAGGGACGCTAGGAATGTTGCATGCATTGGAAGTCCCATTTACATATTTGCAAGATGCAAAAATTTGCATTCCAATAATTGCTGAAGTGATGTTGACTTGGTCCATAACAATGTTGAGGCAGCTTGGATTCTCAGAGCAATCAAATACAATGGCTTGCTCATTTCCAGAAGTTTCTTGAAAGCCACGGTATGTCACGTATGACATTTTGAAACAAAATAGTAATAATTAGAAATTAAATCAAAGTAGCTCTATTTCATTGTGTAAATCTTTGTTATTATTAATTATAAATTTTGAAAATTCACCGATTTTTTACAGTCATGTTTGCCATTACAGTAATGTTGGCTGCTATCAATTTAATTTGCTCAAATGATATCTTTCTAGCATACCCAGAACCGCCATGAAAAATACAAAATGAGAGGTAATTTTAACAAAAATGAATTATCTGCTTTTAATTTGTATTTATTGAGGTCATAAGCCTTAGATGCACTACAAGAAAAAAGGTCAGTAGTGACCAATTTCTCAGTGACAAAATGGATAATGGTCACAGATAGTGTGCATTTAGTGACTAACAATGTTAAATGGTCCCTAAAACTATTTTTAACTTTTAATGACCAATTCTTTTGACAAATAGTGACTACTCTAAATTTTAGTCAATAAAAATAGGTTAGATTTTATATTTAGTGACCTAAACACATAAGTTGACATGGCACAGTAGCCTTACACGTGTCTTTTAATACATCAGTGACCAATTATTTCTTTTAAAATTTCTTTTCAAAATGAGTTCATCGAGTCAGAGCGTGCACTTATCCTTCAGAGTGAGCAAGTCTCTCTCAGATTGTGCCCTTATCCTTCAGAGCGAACGAGCGAGTGACCTTTTCAGCGAATTCAGAGTTCAAATCGTGCGTGTTGCTCTCTCTCTCTCTCTCTCTCTCTCTCTCTCTCTCTCTCTAATCTGGAAACTTCTCAGCTGGTGCGCTCTTTGAACTTGTACTTGATTTTGATTTTGATTTCGATTTTGAGTTCAACTTTGATGTTGATTTAGGGTTCGAATGTGTTTTTGACCTTGATTCAGCTCAAGACCTCTAAGGTATATCCAAAACTGTTTTTCTTGTTTCTGTGACCAAGTGGGTGGCCACTAATACCTGTTTTTCTTGTAGTGAAAGCATATCCAAAACTTAGTTTGTGTGTATTTAACTGGTTCATATGATGCTGTTTCTTCAGGCCTTCATTCAGAACTTGGCATTGTTTCTCACTTCATTTTACAAGGCAAGTTTTTTCTTTTTCAGATGAATATGTTGATATATTGCCTTGCCTTCACCAGCCGTATTTGGATATGATAGTTCTGCTGTTTGGTTTATGTTGTGTCAGGATCTTTAAGCTTTATCTATTGTGTTGTCTATAATTATTGTTTACCCATCCATAAAAGAGTTTGCGATTATGATTAATCTTTAAGCCTCCAATGAGGATGTTATTAATTGTCTCCTTTTCTTTTTGCAGTCACATATTCGTGTGCTTGAATTGAAACCACACAACATAATATAGCCACATTGCTGATGGGTCTTGAATATCTAATAAAAATCTCATATGTGGATGACACTGGAGTTTTTAAGGTATAATTAATTATGATGTGCTCTCTAG